CTTGGCTTTGATGGGTCTATCCTAGTTAATTCTCTTAAGGCCTGCAACAGCTATTTTGTGGACCCCATACTTTGGAGCAGTCATGTTAACCTCCTCGATAGCTGCCACCATCCCATCGGTGGAACGCATTCTAAACCAGAAAGCAGCACACCATTTGTGGAGCTCCTCCCTCGAGATATGTATATTTGCGAAAGCCTTCAACTTCTCGTTCAACTCATCGTACCTAGCCTGCACAGAGGCTAACTCTATCTCCTTGGCTTGAACCTGCAACTTCTCCTCGAGCGCAACCTTCTCGATTAAAGCTTGGTCTCTCTCGGCTCAAGCTTGAACCAACTCTTCCCTCAATTTCCTTTGGTGCATCAAGTAGGCCATCGAGGCCACACTCATCTACACGGAATTGGAAGATCAAGAAAAATTTTACCTATTACAAGTTTATAAAAATATCCACCAACTGCAGGAAAATACTTACCAGCCTCACGCTGTCGATCTCATTCAGTTGAGCTACAAACTCTTCTAGGATGGGACACTCGATTGTTGGAGGGTTGCCAAATGTGTGGACTGCTACAGTCGGTCCTCCCTCAAACATTTGTGAGGGCAATGTGATTGCCTCTCCCTCAAGAGGGTTCTTGCGTTTGTCAGCAACAGGAGGCATGTTGCTTGGCCCGGTTTCCATGGGTGGAACGTGGGTCTCCTCGACAGTTTGGGGAACAAATTTCTCTTGCTCTGCCATTGACTCTGTTAGATGCGTGTCAGCTTTCGCCTTTTTGCTTCTCTCCTTCTCCGGGACTTTCACAGTCCTCTTCTTCTTTTTCTTCGGCACAGCACCAGCAGTGGCTGGGACCTCTTCATCCGAGTTTATAATAGGAAAAGGGTCTTCATCACCATAAAGTCGAGAACCAGCGTTGCTCGATGATATGACCTAGAAACAGAAATAGCAATATAAGAGATTAGTACCTTTTTCTTCCTTGACCGGAGTGTTAGTGTCTTTCCCCTCCTCGACAAGAACAAGGGAAACGTAATACTGCACGTCACTCCATTTAACAAGCTTGGAGTACTTCAAGACTTTTTTCAAATCCTCAGTGAACTCCTCAACGTTGTCGTCATCCTTGTTGGACCACTCGTCCTTTATCACCCTTAGACCTTCCACTTCTCACCGATTCGACGCTAAACAATACTTTCCGATGCTTTCACAAAAAGGTAATCGGGCTTCCATTCAGGTGAGCCACCATATGCCTCGACCATCTTGAGAAAAGTCGGGTCTAAGGCATCTCTTGACATTTACCAATCTTGGAATGATGTCGAGGGAACGACAACTTTGAAGAGGTATCTCCATAGAATTAGTTGGAGCTTACCTTTAATCGTTGACATATTTTTGCGAACCCAAGCATGAAGGTTATCAAATTCGGTGTAAAACGAGCAAGGAGGGTTTTATAGTGTTGGACAATCTCTTCAAACAGAGGGAAGAGAGAGAATCTAAGCTCTAGATGCATAAAGCAGTCGTATACAGTGATTCTTCCCTCAGGAGGAGAATTAGCCCTCTCGATTCCTAATGGGGCTCTAGCTTCTAGATCTAGGGGCAGGTCATATCTCGTTTTTACAGCATTTACCTTTCCATCGGAATCTAAGGTGGAAGCAAAGTCATCGGCAGTTTTTAAATCTGGGTTCCTAGGCATATCTGTCACAGTATTTCAGATCTAAATTGGAACTGAAATTCTAAAGGAATTAGACAGTAAGAGTGAGTTGGAAGGACTTACTATTGGATTAGACCACTCTCCTTTTGAGTTATATCCTCCCAGCATGTTGACGCCCACTCGACGATGGAGCGTTTCAGTCTGGTTCGGTGATAGCAGCGATAGTAGAGATGGATGGAACTCAGGCAGGGGCACAATAGCAGCAAGGTTGCTCCCTTTTTCTGGGTATTATGAAGTTTGGAAGAGAAAAGAAATATCAAAATGGATCTCTCCCAAGAGGTATATAAAGAAGACCGATCCCCCCACGTTTCTGTCGTTGCAATGGTAATCGAGGCAGTTATGGGGGTCTTGGCCGCAGTTTGGGGAACATGCCCACTAATGAAGCGGGGTTTATTAATTTGGGCGGGATTCTGAAGTGGGTCAACTTCTCGAATAGGATCCTGACCTGTGAGACACTTTATTGGGCTTGCTCGACGCAGCGTGGGCCGAGACTTGTCCATCCTACTTGGGCCAGGTGTTGTTTATCTTGTGTCAAGCCTTGTTTATTTCAGCATTCTCAAAGCCTTGACAGGGACACTTGACGAGTCCATATCCACCGAGGGCTATTGGACCGGCCCATCCGTTTACTGTAGTCCAACCAACCAAACAAGAGGCGGTTCCGGAACATTAAACCTAGTAGGATTCAGCATTCTCAAAGGTAACTCCATGCCTATAAATAGGAGGAATCACACCACAATACGGGTACGCTATCTCTAGCACAAAGTACTACTCATATACATTCTTTAAACCCTTTTCTGACTTAATCATCGGACAGTTTACCCTCGGGAGACCCCCGAAACCTTTTTTTACAGGAAATCCTAGCCGAAATTCCACTATCAAGTCGGCGGTGTAAAACCAAGCTCCGTCAATAATTGTTCCAGCATATATATGAGAGTAAGTTGCAGTGGCAACAAAGATAATATTACACTTGCTGATTTCTTTTTATTTTATTAGTTCATGATGTCAAATTAAAATATTACAATAGTATAAAGTAGGTAATGAGTCTCTAAAAGCAGTAAATTATAGCTAAGCAGAACTGTACAAAAGAGGGCATCTGGCTAATATATTTCTTCAAGGTGTTTCGGGGACTGTCTAAGAGGTATATATAGCGTTGAAATGATGTATCTCAGAGAAAATTGTGATGTTTGTTTGATTTATATTCTGTAATATGTACGTTGGATGTTTTGTTAATCTTACCGCTAGTTTTGTTTTAAAAAAAACTTTGATTAAATTCATAAATAATAATCCATCCCACCATATCTTAAAGAGGATTCAATTGATGGACGAGCCTTTTGAACTATCTATGCATCAACTCTTTATTTTTCAAGTAAAAATAAAAAGTGCAGTTCGCAAGTTAAATAAATGGTTATTTCTGGAAAATGTTAAATAGAGCTAATTGCTATACAATCTCAGTAAAATATTGTCATAAATCATAATTAACTAACTAGATATTTGCACATGGATGAATGAGCTGTTGATGAGAAATGAATTTTGGCTGAATTTCTGTCTTCATACTGTGGATGTAGTGGTAGATGTTCAAGACCATTTCACCTGAAAAAATGCCAACGTTTGTTAAAATTAAAAAATAAAAAACAAACAAAATCGAGTTGTGCAGTAAATACTTGAAAACGGTGAAGGCTGAATTCCTTTAAAAGAAAACAAATTACACTATTACTACTAAATAAGCGAATTCCTTTGACTAATGCAAATCAGCAGACAATTTGTTACATACAGATTTACTAAATTAGATTACAATGAACAAACACTGAATACGTTACAAGATCTCCTTTGTCGTATGGCAATATGAACTAAGAATTTTTTTTGTTTTTATCAGTGACTCAACGTTAATTATGAGTTAAAATGGAAAACAGAATAATGGTGGTAATTGACCAGTCAAGAAATTAGTATTATACGTTACAAAAAATGGCACGAGTTTTCACAGTACTGGACAACAACAAATAAAAGTGATTGCTAGAAAGATAGTATTTAATTAATTAATGAATTAAGATGATACTATATTGCTCGGAGTTACTCCTTCGCAGGCTAATTAACATGTTCAAACTACTATATTATTACAGTAGATTTTCTCTCTAGATACGAACTCGATCCTTTCTCTCCATTTCTATTTTGCCAAGCTCCAGAAGAACCATATAATTCTTTCTAAGAATAATTCACATAAATTAAACTAGGAAGAGATGAACGATTCACCAAAGTTGATCAAGGTTTCAAGCGGAATTAATGAAGACCTTCAGCGCCCGGGTTTTATGAAAATAATCAGGGGTGGTTTCAATGTCGAGAAAGTGGTAATTAAATTTTCAATTCATTCTCCTGTATTTCATTGAGAATTTTATGTTTCGCTAATTTTTGTAGTATTAATTTCTCTCAAAGATTGCTCTCTGTCCTCATTTGTTTTTTATATCTGAAACTTTTTTTTTCTTTTTTTTTTCTTTTTTTTGGTATCGGTGATTCTGATGTGACGAACTCCAAATTCAACTTCTTGTTCTTCCCGATATGTTAATCTTCGAATTTGTGTTAATTAGATGAATAAATAAGCACCAATAAATTTTTTTGTTGTTGCGTCTTGTGTATATCATTGATTTTTCTTGTTAATTAGATGAAAAAATAAGAACTTTTTTTTTCCCTTTTTCTGGTTCCACCTCCATCTAATTGTTTTATTTTCTATGTAATTCTTTATCGCCTACAAAAAATAAAAAAGGCTAATTCTAGTGGTTGGTAAACAGAAATTCAAGACATAGATTGCATATGAAGGATTATATGATGAATTGACGGTTGATGAGCAACCTAGCTTCAATTTCGATGGGAAAATTATTTTTGTGGGAAATTGTTGTTTTTGGGGGACAAGAAAAAATTGGTAAACATTTATTTTTATTTATTTAATTGAAATCTCGTAGGACTGCGAATGAAATGCTAGAGGTCTTATCAGGATTCCTGCTATTGATGTAGTGTTTGTTGTACAGTTCATAATCTTTCTGAAGTGATTAAAGCGTTTTCATTCTTTTCTTTAATGAAACTCTCTGTATTTAGTTAGTTTTCAGTGAATCAAAAGCTGCATGACATTTTAAAAAATTTAATGTCAAATGTAAATACCCCAATCGAATCCAATTTATAATGCACAAAATCATGCCTTTTAAATTGGATCGAAGGAGAATAACAATGCACTTACTTAAGTTTCTCTTTTACTGAAACTATATTTTGGATTTGATACCAAAGAAACTCCCGCCCACATTTTGGAAGAGCAAGAGCGTGAGAATGCCCGACGATGGTGTCATTATCTTGAACGGACCTTTCGGTGGTTCCTGGCCAGTACAACTATCTCGATCTACCTGCGGGATATTTCTCTCGGAAGGGTGGAAGAAGTTCTATGACGATCACGCTTTGGTGCAGTACGATTTAGTTTTGTTCAAGAGTGCCAGAGATTCGACGCTCGACGTGCAAATCTTCGGTGAGAATGGGATTGAGAAGACAAAGGATCATCCTCCTGTTGAAGAAGTTCCGGTTGTGAAGAGGAAGAGAGGTAGACCGCGTAAAAATAAAGATGCTACTAATTCCCCACAACTTGTTTCAGGTAATGTTTATTAATATATATATATATATATTGTGGGTATTGGTTGAGAACTTGAGATTCATTGTCTGAATATTTTATGATGGCAAATCGCATTTTTGTCATTTCAGTTAGTTGTTTTGAATGAAATTAATTAACGTAACAAACAAGATGATAATAATGTTGCTGTCTTTGAGCTACAGGACTTGAAAAGCCTCAAGCTGAAGTATCTGCTGTGAAGAAGCAAAGAGGTAGGCCTTTTAGGAACAAAGATGCAAATACTCCTACTTTTGTTATCGACTTTAGTACTTATTTCTCAGCATATCCTGCATTACCTATTGACGGTAATTTCTAACTATAATATCCGTTTTAGCTTGCAATTATTGTTGAGATTCATACACGAATAATGTTTATATCAACTATCATTACCATCTTATAATTGCGCTACATAAGTATTCATCGTGTATTTGTCATTTCAATAAGTCTTTATAAATAAAATCAATTTATGCAACAACCGTGTTATATACGTATTTGTCATTTCAATAAGTCGTTATAAATAAGATCAATTTATGCAACAACCAAAGTGATATTGATGTTGTTGTCCTCTAGGAATTGAAAACCCTGAAGAACATGTTCTTGCTGTGGAAAAAAAGAAAGGTTCAACCTTTAAAAACAAAGAGACTTCTAATTCTACTTCTATTGCCGACGGCAACACTAATTCCTCAACAGATCCTAAACAACCGGTTGCAGGTAATTTCTAACTACAGTATTTGTTTGTATACTTGCAATTATTGTTGAGACTCATATATGAAGTATGTCGATATAACCTATTGTTACCTTCTTAGAGTCTTGTTTTATTCGTATTTGTCATTTCAATAAGTTGTCATACATGAAATTAATCAATGAAACAAATAGGATGATAATGAGGTCAAGTCTTGAATCCTCAAGCACAAGTTCTTGTTTTGAAGAAAAAGAAGGGTAGACCCTTTAAACACGGAAACTCTTCTAATCCTATTTCTATTGTCGATAACAACACTAATGACTTAGCAGATCCTGCATCCCTTATTGCAGACAATTTCTAACTATAATATCTATTTGTGCTTGCGGTCATTGTTGAGATTCATATATGAGCATTGTTACAAATCATATTATATATGTCTTTGTCATTTCAATAAGTTGTTACAAAATAAAATTAACCAGTACAACAAATAAGATGATAATGATGTTGTTGTCCTCGAGTTAGGACTTCAAAACCCGCAAGCACAAATCCCCATGATTATGAAAAAGAGAATTGGAACCTATAAAATCAAAGACGTTTCTAATCCTACTTCTATTGTGGATGGCAATACTAATTGCTCAGCAGATCTTGCACCACCGGTTACGGGTAATTTCTAACTATAATATCCGTTTGTGCTTGCGATTATTGTTGAGATTCACAAATAAATAATGCTGGTATTGACTATTATTACTGACTCATAGTCGGGTTATATAGGTATTTGTCATTTCAATAAGTTTTTATAAATGAAATTAATTAATGCAACAAATAAGATGACAATGATGTTGTTGTCTTTGACTTAGGAGTTGAAAACCCTGAAGCACAAGATCCTATTGTGAAAAAGAAGAAAGGTAGACTTTATAAAAACAAAGATGCTTCTAATCCTAATTCTATTGTCAATGACAACACTAATTCCTCAGAAGATCCTGCATCGCCTGTTGCAGGTAATTTCTAAATGTCATATCCATTTGTGCTTGAAACTATTGCGTGGAAAATCATTTCACAAATATATTTGGAGTCCACTAGTGTTATCATATCATAATCATGTTATATACAATCCTAAGTGGTTATAAAATGAAATTAATTGATTCAACAAATTGTCACACTTGAACCAGAACTTGCAAACTCTCAAGCTATAGTCCATGTTGTGAAGAGGAAAAGAGGTAGACTCTTTAAAAACGAAGATACTACTATTCCTATTTCCTATGTCCATCGCGATGCGAATTCTTCAGCAGATCTTGCACCACCTCTTGCTGGTAATATCTTCATATAGAAGTCATTACTGCTTTTGATTATTGTTGACATTTATAATATTAATTGCGATACAAATTAACGTACTATATCAGAATTATTATGTTATAATGAATGACTGAGAAAAATAAAAAATAAGAATGAAGCTTGTGTCAAACATATCATGTTGATCAATTTATCTTCTCATGTTATTCAAGTTAATTCCTTTTCGTTTTTCTTTAGGGTGATGGAATCACCTGTAGTAATTGTATACACCGTAAATCTTTTTGAAATTAACCGCTCATTAGTTTTTTCTTTCTTTCTTTCGTTCTTTCTTTTAATTTTAAGACAATACCTGTCATATTATTTGTCTATAAAGGAGTTCTTACATTGCATAAGGGAGTACGCTATATTGTGCATATCTTACGCCATCTTCTACTAAGTTTTAACAAAAATACAAGATTTAAAGGGCATTAGTTGTCTAGAAAGTAGGGAGGTAGCAGGTAGTTCCACAGCTACACTCATTTAGTAGGTAAAGTTCTAGATTACTAGAATTCAGGGTCTCATAACCATTTTTTGAATATAGTAGAAGTATGTAATAGAAAAAGAGTTCAAAATTAATGTGACTTTCTTTGTTCTTTACGTACAAATGCCCCAACCGAACTTAGGATCGGATTTGATTCCTAATCGAAGAGATCCATCAAAACTTTATCACAATAGATGATTCCTAATAATACTTAAGCTTAATAATTACTTTTTGAGTTAAGGAATCAACTTATTTCTTGATCTTTAGCTAACCTATCACTTCACCTAACCAAAACGAAATTAAAGGAATACTTTCCATTTACTTTTGGATATGTCTTTAAGAATTAAAATATTTTTTTCAAGTGTTATTGATTTGTAAGTTTATTTTTGTAAATTTTTCTATTCACTTTTCAGAAAAAGGCCCTAATAATGATCAACAGGCCATGGCTACCCCTTCAGAAGCCATGCTCTCCAGCAGGTATAACACTATGCCTTTATATATTGTCATGAGGTGCATTTTAGTAACATTCTTGTTTCCAGTATGTTATTGACTTGTTTTATGTTTGAACAAAACAGGAAAGGAAAAATTTTATCTCGATATGTTGAATCTTTAATTGAGGAGTAGAAACAGGTAGCTGCATTGGATCCAATCTGAAAAAGAAATTGGAAGAACCAACAAAAAGTGTGGATCCAATCTGTTGTCACCTTTTGTGCTCGTTGGAAACGAATTAATCAAAAAAATTTGGATTGTTGTTATTATTTGCAGCTTTATTTTTATTGTGGGATACTTGACTGTCTTTATACAGTATTCTTAAAGATAGTAAAGCATGACAAAATTTTAAGCCAAATGTTTGATTTCTTTTTTTTATTTTTACCTTTTTCGTTCACGATCTTTTTAAACAAAATTTTTGATCATTTTTTTTTACTTTTGGTTTCCGGATCTGAAATCGAATCAAAAGTTGTGCCTACTAAGGTGCTTGAGACATATTTTTCGATTTATTTTTTTTCATCATTAGAGTTTATAACTCTTTTTTAAAAAAAAAAACTAAACTGAAAAGTTATTAAGATTATTGAGAAATGCCCGTTTTGACAAAAGAGAGGTGGATTAGATCACATTACATATATCGATGTGCTATCCTTAGCAAAAAAAGTCAATTTGTAAGAGACGGTATTTGTCAATTTACGATTTTAAAAGATAACTAAATAAGTTAAACATGTAAAGCGAATCCGTACATCTTTCAAAACCCACTGACAAATCTCTAGACATATATATATATATATATATTCAGCTCGTAAATCAAGAATGGCATCCACAGATTACCCTTTAAATTGAGAAATTAACAAGACCTTTCAGTTTTGCGAGAGTCACAGTCTCTCTAAGAGCAAGAATCTCAACAATAAAAGAATCTTAGATGCAATATGCATGGCGAGTTTGTAACTCTAATTGCACACAGATTTTTCTAATTTAATCAAAAGAAGCATTCACAATAAAATAGCATGACCCTTTTCATCGTCAATAAATTTATAACATAGATCTAATCCACTAAATCCTTCTCTGAAGTTTATTGTGATGAAACAAAAGATGAACATTCATTACTATTAGAGTATATGTTTAATTATTATTCTTTCTTTTTTTTTTCAATACAATGAATGAGATAAAAACCTAGTGACTAAATAAGTACTTTACGGAGATAACCCCAATAATATCATTCTCCAGCCATGGTGTGATCTCCGACGATGAAACTTATAGTTGATGTAAGCCTCCTGGAAAATGAATTTTTATAATATTATCGATGTAATATTTTTATTATAAAGTTAAAACTAGGTTCTTGACCCGTGCGTTGCACGGGTTTGGGTCTCAAGCTTTAGTATTAACAAATTATATTCATTGTCATAAAAGTTTGAATAGAGGAGAAAAATAGTTTATCAAATGTGTTAGGTTATTGTGTCGGCTTACATAAAAATATAAATTAATTGAAAATTTTGTACCAAATATGTTAATAATAATGATGTACTACCTATGTCCCCAAAAAAATAGTGCACACTAAGTTTAGAAATTTGTGTTATTTTCAATATAAATCTTAATCCTCAATGTGAATTGTTATTTTTAGGACAGAAAGAGATTTTTTATAAAACTATTTGTTGAGATAGAAAATGTATTAAGTTGGATTAAAATGTAAAAAGGCATATGTTACTTATATTTTTGAAATCCTCACTAATTATTATTGATAATAATAACATCTAGTTTTTCTAAACCAAGAACTATTCATATGGCCATTTATTTAATAGATATTTTAAAAGGATTAAAATATTATTATACATAAAATTAACTTGAAAGTATTTGTTCATTATTATATATATGTGGTAGTAGTTTAATTTTTTTTATAAAATAAAATTTGGGTAATTTTATGACAAAATCAATTAAGAGAAAGTCGAAAGTTTATTTAACTAACGCATGATTCGACAACGCAAAGGCCCACATTGTAAGCCAAAAAAATTAAAGAGATGCAAGAGTGTTTTTGAATCGGCCATTTTGCCCAAAAAAAATGCCGGCCACCGTTTAAAATTTTTAAAACTCACCGTTTTCCTCGGTCTATCCGAAGATTTTATTCCTAGTATTCGATTTCGAATTATTCTTTCCAAACTCACTTCATTTGAGATTTCTTCCAAGTGATATAAATTTTTTTCCTCTACAACACCTGAATTGGAAGGTTAGTTTGATTTGTTTTGGGATTTTTTTTTCTTCATTTGCCCATTTAAATTACTGTAACACATTTCCTTCGATTAAAATCTTACTGTCAATCCCCATCTCTCATCATCATCAATAAATGAAAATGTAGGTTTTAGATACTTACTCACCTTTTTCTTTTGGCTTCAAATTCCTCCAAAACTGACCACAATTCAAGCTGAGAAGACATTAACACACACAAGACCACTTTTTTAAAACATGCCATGTGATTAAACTTCACTCTTTATAACTGCAATCACATGAAGCTACCTTCAAAGTGTCTTAAGTAGAGCCCTTCAGAGATGTTAAAGAACATCTCAAATCTCGACCAAAAACGACTAAGCATTTATAAAGCATGTTTGGTGATCATGGAACACGGAGCTGGAAAGTAGTCTTCGAAGCCCAAATTGTACAAGAAAACAAAGAATCAGCAGCATAAAATATTTAGCCATCGCCCCTGTTTGCTTCTCTGCAAGAAAAGATGAAGATAAAAAAAAAATTCCAATCATAAAACTATATTTTCACTCAGAGTCGGAGTGTATTTTAATGGAGTATAAATCAGAAATTCCAATATTTATTTCTTCATTCAGCCGTCATTTACATTATCTGTGACCAAAACAAAAATCAATTTGAATTTTGCCTACCTCTTGTTGTTGTTTCTTACGAACAGATCCCGTAATGAAATTTTTTTTCTCATCGAATTTGAAGCCACTCAAACTACCGCAACCTTCTTCTCCAGGGGCAGCTGGCATCTGCATCTCATGATTTGGTTATTGAAATTGTCAGGGTTGTCTTCACCGGTAATCTTAGTTTTCTGGAAAAAAAAAATACATTGGATTGTAACTTTGTTTCAGTAACAAATGATTTGATTTTGTTTTGCCAAGAAAGGCTTACTGCTGGTTCTGCGTTCTCCATCCAATCTGATAATTGACACGTGATGGTAGATGTGTTAAGAAAATTTGAGGGCCGATGAAGGACGAAAGAGATGGAGACACAAGGATAAGCACCTGATTTATTGATGCCGATTCATATGGATGTTTTTGGACGGAAAAAATCCCAGTTGCCGCTGTCAAATACGCCACTGATGTTGCGCTGCAAAAAGAATAAAAAATAAAAAAATTCCTGTCGCTGATATTGTTGTTTTGTGCCCAAAAAAAAAAAAAATCCTTTTGACGGTTTGCGGTTTGTGGGACTTTAATTTTAGGGACTAATATATGAATTTGAAACAGGGTCGTGGGTAAATGGCTGTCGCTGATATGTAATGGAGATTTTGCACTACAAGTAAATCTAATTTCAGGATATGAAGCTTTACCAAGTAAGATTTAGTACTAGTCATGGGCGATTCTTCTGGTGCGATTCTTGCAACTGTAAGAGAAGCTCATTGCTCAAGTCGTTGTATACCAATTCTCTTTGAGATTAGATCTTTGATGGTATAACCATCTTTTAATACTTTGTACTGTATTCCTCATTTGAATAATGAAGTAGCTCATCCCATAACTACCCTTGTAAAATCTAGTATAACCCATGTAATAACTTGGTCATCAATACCAAGTTTTTTGTATTATTTAAAGTTGTCTGATCTCCAGCAAGTTTAACAGAACGTTCTCTTTTTTTAGGAAAAAAAGGGCATGATGATGTTGTTAAGCATCTGCATCACAGACATCAACAAATTAGATCAAAGCTTTATTACAAACTTTTTTATACATGTATCATTGTCGGGACTGCAGTCTATTGGGAACCTTGACGATAAAGATAACTGAAGATGGTCGAAACTGAAGCTAGAAGCAATTAAAGATGTCAGCATTAATTTTCTTTTAAAAGAAAATTCAGTACAATAGTAGAAGTAAAGCCTAATGTTCTAAATTGTCACATTAGGGTGATATATAATTCTAATGATATCGTACTCTAACCACATCTTAGTACGGGAGACAGCACAATTGGCGTTGAGATCACGGGAGGTTGTTGCGACATCAGAGGCGTTTCCCAACACCCGCCGGAACTCCGCAGATCACGGTTCCGGTGATGCCGTAGTTTCTCCATGGATGCTTACTGCGCGCTCTACGATCGGAAGGGGAACAGATGTTGATTGGCGATTCCCAGTTGCAATTGCGACATCAACAGATGCGCCTTGCTCAATTGTGGTTCGCTGATTGGAGTCCGGAAGTGGAAGCGCAATAGACCTGTCTTGCGCTGCAATTGGATGTGAAGAAGAAGGAAAAATTGATTGCTCTTCGACAGCGAAAGCATCATAGGATGCTCTTCGGGCTTCAACCAGAGGAAGGGCTTGCACCGCTACATCCGTCCGTCCGTCCGCAGCGGCAGTATTTACTTGCAACGGTGGATCTGAGTCTTTGGATTGCGACTCTACTTCAACTTCAAAGACATTCAACGGTGGCTGCACATCGTTGATAAGGCCTGGAGTGAATTGAAAATGTTGCTGACCAGCATTAGAAAGGGGTACGGTCGAGAGTTTTTCACCCAATTTCTCTAAACCCGTTGTATTCGCCTGCTTTTTTTGGGCAGATCGCTTTGACAATTGCTTTGATTGATGCGAATCTATCGTCTGCAACGAAGATGCGGCTTTGTTGTGTCGACAGGAATGATGATCGTGACCTATTTTCTTGCAATCAACACAGTATTGAGGCATGGTTGATCTTATTATATGCTCCCTCCGTCTAATAAAATAATACTAGTCTTTTACTCGTCGCGCGTTGCGCGACCAGTGCATATATGAATTCTTTTACTCCAATCTTTTTGTTTTGTGTTTTTGTACTTCATGTTTGGTTGAGTTTTTCTCGTTATACTTAAGACTACAAATGAATATAAATTTATCCGCCCTTGTAATAATTTTATGACGCATTGATATTGAATATCTCTTTTTGCCATCTTGCAAGAAAGAGTCAAACATACATTATTTTAATTTAACTGGCACTTTGCAAAATACAGTTACCAAATTTAGAAAAAGTTATTTTTCCATACCTAACCTCTAACCTCACATTTTTTTCCTTAATTAATTAAGATTGAAGAAACATGTGATCTGAGATATTAATTAAATTGGATTTTGTCATTGCAGATAAAACGCTTTCCAGCATCTCCAAATGAAATTCTTGCGTTTTACTTTAATGGAAAAAACCCTAATATCCGAGTACACAAAATAGAACACCAATCACTAAAACCTCAAAAAACAAAAGCTGAAAAAGTATTTAGCCTCAAAAACTCAACAATTAACTGTCGTATAACACCCGTTAGGAGGGGGAGAATCCAAAAAAAATTGCGAAAACTTCTATCCCAAAATCTCAACAAAAAAAAGTATTTATAATCAATTAAAAATGCTAGGTACAAACACAAACTTGTCTAGAGGAGATCAGCAACATTTGATGGTAGCTCTTCTACTCTTCTACTACCATATTGTTGAACTTTTGAATGTCATACAACATCCTTTCGTCCTCCTTGGTAACAAAGTTAATGGCCTCTCCTTTCCTCCCAAACCATCCACTACGACTAATGCGATGAAAGTAATTCTCAAGCTAAGTGGGGAGATCATAGTTTATGATAAGGGAAACATATTGGACATCGATCCCTCGCGCCAACAGTTCCGTGGTAATCAGCACCCGGGATGATCCTGAGCGGAACTCGCTCATTATGATAACCCTCGTGTTCTGATCCATGTCGCCGTGTGTGGCAAAAACTGTATGATCCTGGCCTTGCAACTTGTCAATGAGCCAATCAACTTTGCGCTTTGTGATAGATAACACTCTGAGTGATAGCTAAGGTCTCATACAGGTTGCAGAGTGTTTCGAGCTTCCAATCTTCCTTGTCAGGATTCACATAGAACTGCTTTATACCTTCTAAAGTAAGCTCATTGTGGTTCACCAGAATCCTAACAGGTTTGTTCATAAATTTCCTGGTAATCTCAAGGCTTCAGGTGGCATTGTTGCAGAGAAAACTCCAACCCGGACTTTTGTTGGAAGAAGCTGGAAGATATTATAGATCTGGTGCAACAACAAGGAAAAACGGAATGCGAATATTAGAACTATTCCAGTATACCTTGGATGATCATTCTCCCGATTCAGTCAATTTCAATATATAAAGGTTACAGAGATGCGATAATTGATTCATAAAGAATAGAAGCAGAAAATAAGAGAACTCAAAATGAAGAAACGGGGCATTTAAGATCGTAAGATGAATATTACAATAGATTAGATTCACATGGCCCTTTATTTAAATCTTTTAGCATTCACCAAATTATATCTTCGTTGAGGAGCAAACAACACTTTCTTTGGTTTAGTACAAGATTGTTTCCATGCATTTACAAAGGGCTGGGAAAATTGAAACCCAAAAGATTATACATGATCTAAAGCACAATTAAAAGATTAAAAACACAAGTTCTAACTTCCAATCAATAAGATCACACCGCAAAAAAAGAGAGAGAGAGAGAGAGAGAGAGAGAACCACTAAAAGAGGAAGAATCCTCCCAAACTTCACCAATAATTTCATCTGTTCTTCCCAAAAATGATTACAGGTTTACAAGAAAATAGGTCATTTTTTATAAAGTATATAACAATACAAGAACTTGCTTATGAATCAAACATAAGGCCATGCCCAATTGTTCATTTTAGTCTCAAATGGGGGCAAAACATCATTCCTAAGGATCCCTAAATCAACTTCTACACATATAGAAGATTTAGGAAAATTTCCTTTTATTTAAAACAGGGCAACAGCTTTCTTTAAAACACAATCATGCAAAGTTTAAATGGAAGATATTTTTGAAACAACATGCTCTAAGGAAGAAGAAGCAGCAACGATAATATAGAAAGACTGCAGAAGATTAAAGTATTATTTAGTCATCAAAATTTGCAAAGTTTTATCATGTTCAAGATTGTTCACTTTTTCCAGAAGATGCATATAAGTTAAATAGTCTTAGAAGTGCCAGCATATAAAATAAAAGCATACAACTGCATAGTTGAAATCATTCACTCGCACAATAGCGTGAGCGGTGCAACTCAAAATTAGATGCTAATTTCCCCATAGCAATTGAAAATCGAAACAGGATACCCAATAAGGGTGGCTAAAACAGTATAAGGTGCTACAAACAATTTGGAAAAATTAACATGGAATCAATAGTATAAAAAAAAAAATCGAACCTTTCTGCAGGGTTCTATATGTATTTTCTTTCAGCTTCGTGTTGTTTCTGCTGAGGCTTTTTCTCCTCTTCTCCTTCCTCTTGTGAAACCCAGAGTCAAAATCACTTCGAAAATAATCGAGAAATTCAAAAGAAAAAAAAAAGAAAAATAAGACAGGCTTGAAAATTCAACAAAATAACATTACTCAACAAATTATGCAGTAAAAAGAAAAAGCGGGCAAAGATGTAAAAGAATTATACATGAGGTCGTTCTTATTAAAAGAGATAAAGAGGGTTGTTTTCATCATAGTGAGTACACATAAACAACCACAATAAAAGCACGAGCACATGAAAACAAAAGAAAAATTACGGGAAGCAAAACATAAACAATACGTAAACAATGTATAATAGAAGCTAAATGAAAAGGAGAACAGATCCCAAGCATGAGAAAGTTATCAGTCTGCAGTTGTTACACTTTTTGTTACACTTTTGTAACACATCCACTAAGATGATTTAATTACACAAAAGAGACACAATGTGCTGAAAATTACAAAATAGAAAATTGAATTGTTACACTTTTTACCAAAATTAACCTTTGAATGTGTTACCGTAACAAAGTTTTAGCCCCAGAAAGATGAGTACCATTATTGATAAACCAAACTTGGATAAGTATATTTTTCTCTGCTTGACAACAAGACAACTTGAAAAATATATCATGACCAAAACCTCCAAAACAACATAAAAGCCCTTTGAATCAAAAGGTCAAACATTTTAGAATGACAGCTTTTTATGGAAGAAGTGAATGTTGCCTTCTATGTAATATAAGCAAAGAAAAAGCAGAAAGAGAATTATAGAAAAAGTTATAAAATTAATTGCATGTTACTTATCAACGAAAAGATTACGCACACAAAATGAGAAGCAGGTGAGAGATTGCAATTTAAATGTGGTTGAAGAGAGCTAATGACAACTACAGTAAGGAAAATAACAAACATGGGCACCACCAGTAAGGTTGAGACTATGGATAAGCAGGGAGAGCAACAGCAATACATAAAATCTGTGGATAAGTAGGGAGAGCAAACCTCGTTGATTGCCTTGGTGTATCTAATAATGATCTTACTTGGATGGAGGCCCATCCGAATGAGCTCCTCAGCATTTTGAAGAGATCAAAAGAAACACATAGATTGGTTGCATCACCAATTTCCTGGCAGCTAGACGTTCCCAGCTAGACCCGAAATCTTAGCAGCAGGGTTCTGAACATCAAGCTCATTGGCAATAGGAGCAGCATCATTTGTCACAAAATCTTCCATATGATTTATAACCATCTTATTCATACCTGATCACATTGACAGCTTCTATCGATGTCCTTTATTGGAAACTATGTAATATTTCAAAAAATAACTTATGGACCAACAATAGCTAGGCTCTCTATCACTCAGGATAAGTGCATTATAGTGAAAGAGAATAGCTACCACTCACGCCTAGAAAGGAGAGCTCCTTCCCATCCATCCCATCAATTCTTGAAGATAAATGATGCTTTGTCATGTGGAAAACACAGAAACATAGCAAAAATTACATGGTGGAAGCATATAACACATCACATTTATTTGTATCTTGCTTGATAAACTTATATCTCTAGGGCAGGACTAAACAAACACAACATACAAAATCCAGAAACTAATTGACTACGAGCATTGTCAGAAACTCAGTCAAGAATGGATAACAACAATTGAAAACCAGGCCAGACAGAAAGTCAAGGGGGGATGTAATTTTACATTAATTTCATCTTCATGTTAAGAATAATTTATTCTTACCAAACGCAGCCAGCTTAAGAAATTTTTAAAAAGCACCATGATAAAAAACTGATCCAACAAATTGTCAATAGAGAATTTATAAGAGGAAGATGATAGCTCACCTGGTTGACTTCCATAGCATAATATCTGATTGCCTATCTGCTTAACAACCAAAGCAATAAATAGAGCATCTGATCACCGATCAAGCATCACCTTTTACCCAAAAGAAGGGAGAGGCAATGTGCAAGCAACGAGCAATTAGCAGGACAGAAGCGAGCTAGTTGGATAAAATAAAACAATATTAGGCAAACTATATTTGATGCTATAAAACAATATTAAGTAAGTAACAGAGAGACTTTATAAACACCAAATACATTATTATAATGTATCTACATAAAGGACGCTAGCAGGCTTCCCTATGATCATACGAACACACACAAAAAAGAGAAAAAATTACATGAGGATGAAGCAATACTATAATTATCAGACTAATACGGCCAAGCTTCTCAACTGCCTAATTTCTTTCTAACTTAAAGAATTTCTAGGTACAAAGATAACGTCACTATGGTTATAATCTGATAACCCCAACAGAATCAGAACTGAATTATTACAAAACCAAAAGTGAAGTTCAAATTTTAGAGAAAGCTGCTTAGAAAAAAAAAAATTAAACTCAACGAGGAAATTACGAAATTAAAAGGGGAAAAACCGGAAAGAGAGCATACAGCAGTTTCAACG